AAAATATGACATTTTTATGATGATTGCATTAATTATATATTATATATTTATTATAAAATATATTATAAATATTTACTGCGTAAACATTTAATTAATTAAATTTATTTTTAACATTATACACGATGAATATAATTATTAATATTGCAAAAAATAAAACACCTGTGCTTGTCCGCGTCACTGAATTTGTACTATCTCCTGATAATGCTTCTGCTGTGGTGGCACTTATGTCCACTTTTCCCAAGGAAGATTTCAACAATTCATCTTCATATTTGTAAGTATTTCCTAGAGGGTATTCATGAAAATCTCTTCTAAATTTATCCAGTTCTTCTTGAATAGTATTATTGTTAAGCGTTATTTTATCAGGTTTTATAAGTCCCTCGTATTTGATTACACATTTACTAACACATTCGTTTTAATTTGATTTTTGAGGGGTTTTTAAATCTTTAAAATGACCATATAATTCATCAAACTTTTCGAATATATCATATACATTATCTTCCATTAATGATACATATTCTTTACATACATCAGGTATATGTACGCCTGATTTTTTATATACATTTATCAATTGATCGTGAGCCTCATCAAACCTATAAATTTTAGGAATTTTATGCTTTAATTCACGTTTTAGTTGGTAGATATAAAAATTACAATATGGCTTTCTATAATTTTCACTTTTTTTATGTTTTATTTCATGTAAATAAAGACCATGTTTCTCGCAAGGTGAAGTAAAATTATAATTGGGATGTGGATCATGTTGAACTCTTTGATTAAAAACATTGCATTCTTTTTTCAACTTAGAATATACATGAGTTTTGAACATATTATATAAAAGTGAATTATACAAATCCTTACATATATGAAATATATCCTTATACGACAACTAAAATTGAATTTAATAGTGCATATAAATGTATATATTTGAATGAAATATGTTTCTCTTTGATTTTTCAAAATAGGCCAATTAAAAATATAGCAATATGAATTATACTTTTAACTATATGTAGAAACATACTTCAGCTTTTGTTACTATAGTGTTACCCATTATACATGATAATTAGTCCGAAAGTAAAATTATATTCATTATTGTAAATTAGAATGTGCTAAAAGTAGTAGTATTAATAATATATGGATATTAATGTATTATTCTCATTAATTTATAAATATAATAAAATTTTGAAATTTTCATTTTTATATATTAAAATTTTATTGTTATATTTCTTCTTATTACCTAAAACGTTTAGTGTTCATATATAGTTTCAATCATAGAATTTTAGAGTTTGAGTTTTAGTTTTTATGATTTATGTTATTTATTTTTGTACTTATGATCATGATATATATGCAGTGTTATGAAATATGTATATAATACTCCTATATCCGTACATATAATAATTTATATTTATTATTTTGGAATTAACATAAAGAGTAAAGGTAATACATAATTTTTCATATTAATATATACAATATTAATAGACATTTCATATTTATTTTATTTTTTTTTTATATATAATTTGCGTAAATGTTTTTTCCACAAATATCATTGATTTTAATATATAATATTTTTAATTTTTACATAATATAATTATATGAATGTTATATATATACATTGTACATATTCTTTTTATATTTTATAATATTATTTTTTCCAATTAATCCTTAACACTTCAGATTTATTATATCATTACAATTTTATTTTCTCATTGAACATATTTTAATGATTTTTATTTTTTTCGATGAATATATTTTTATAATATTCAAAATGATATATTTTTGCAATGTTTTTGCTCAAATGTTCAGGAAGAAAAAAATAATATAAGTTATTAACATTTACCTAATAATGCATATTTATATATGAAAAAAATTATGTATATTTCTTTGTATATATAATTATATTATATCGTTTAATATAAATTAATAAATATATTTACATAATTGTTCTAAACAAACAATATAACTAATTATATTTAAATATATATACAATACATTATTTATTATATATATATATAAACGGATTTTTTTCCTAAAGGAATTTTTGATATACTTTGTAAATACATACTAATTTATGGATTAAAATATTCCTTGAATATAATCATATATTTCATGTATAGTGATGTAAGAAATATATGTAAATTTTTATTATTATAACAATATGGATAATTTTATCTGGGGTATGTAATTATTTTGATTTATAGTATGAATAGATTTAAACCATAAATTTACGATGAAACGTGATTTATTAAGGACAAAATTATTAATTTTTTTATGTAACATATAATACTTACGAGATTTGAAAAAAAATTTTTGTAGTAAAATTTATGATAGTGCTATATTACATATTTTTGATAACATAAGTGTTTTTCTATATAAATATGTTTTTTGGAATATCCATGCACATTGGGAAAGTTCTTAAAATATTTATTATGAGTCCTTAAGAAACAAGGTATTATTTCTTTAATATATCTTCAAAAAGATTCAACAAATAATATTCTATTATAATTGATATATTTTTTGAAAGATTAATTATAACGTATATTATTTTTTTTAAGGGAAACATGTATATATAAATTTAATACAATCTATTTTTTATCATTTATCTAAACAAAAGTTTCGTCACTGATATTTTATTTTTTATATATAATAATTTAAAATTTTTTAAATTTATAAATATCTTATATATAATTTTTAGTAACAATAAGATTTTGAATATTTTTAATGAGTTACTATGGTTTTATTGAATCTATTTATATTCATAGACATGTATTATTGGGATAACATGACATATAAAAAAAACTATATAAAAATGTATTAATATATAATTTTTACTCATTTGGAGATTACAAAGTATAAAAAAATATTTTTAATCTGTTGTCACATGATTATGAGAAACTTCAGCACAATACATAAAATAAGATGTGTACTTACAGGTGCATAATTTTATACTGTAAAAACGTAAAAGGCAATATTTTTAAAGTCTTAACTTGTTCTATGAAAAAATTTATTTCACATAATATAATTATTAGAAGATCAAGAACAATAACTAATGATGATAATGGCATATAATATGTTATAAATTATTCTCTTTTATGTTTTATTTTTTATTTCATAAATACATTCATTATAATAATAATACATATATTTCTTTGGAATTATGAAGACATATTGTTCATGCTGAACCAAATAGCGGGATAATATTTTATAAATTATAGACAAGGTACATCAAAAATATAGTTAATAACCTTTATAAAATAATATTATATGTGAAATACAAAGATATTTATTCTCTATTCAACGATAGACATTTACATATACATAAATGCTGTAAATTATTAAATTATAAAAAAAAAGAGAATCCAAAATAAATAAAACGTGTGATTATAATTTTGTATATATATTTTTAATCTACGTTAATATGGATGATTTTAATATTTATGCCACAAAATAAAAAATCTTATATTTCCTTGATTTATCCAAATCAACAAGACAAGAATCTGAAGTTGAACTTAAAATTTTAGTGTTTATACAACGTTGTTTATATTTTCATGGCTATTATATTTTTGTAGTTTAAAATATTATCTTTAAGAAAAATTATTTAGTATAATAACATTCATAACATATACTTCTATATGAATAAAAAATTTTTAGTGTTTTTTAATATTTTTTATGTTTGTATGTGCGAAATATAAACACGTATTTAATATATGGATATATATGTGCTTACAAAGACTTATATAAAATTCACTTTCATATTTGTCAATAATATTGCATATATATGTACTGAAATATTTATTCTTTCTTAGATATACATTTTATCTATAGACAGATGGTAGTGGCATAAATACATTATTTATGTTCTTACAGAATATGAAATTCTATCAAAGTTTATAATTTTCTTTTTCAGAAGAAACATTTTTATTTATTCCTACTAGGTACGCATTTTTACAATCATCATACATGTATAAAAAGTAGTTACATCTTAGCACATCTCATATTATTGGATTTATTAAAAAACGCTTTTTTTTATTATAATGAAGAATTATTGAATTTTTTTTCTCTAAATGAAACCTCGAAGCCAAGATTTTGTGAATATTTATCTAATACCCCATCATCCAATTTGCAAAAATCATTAATCAGTGCTTTTCAAAATATAAATATATATTAACTATTCACTTTTAAAATTATTTAACATATACATTTACGTAAATTCTTGAATTCAGTAACTACTTGAGGATTGTTATTGTAATTGATTTTAAATCTGATAAAGCGTGTATATTATATTGTAAGAAAATATTTTCTGCAAACATTTATGAATTAATACATATTTCCAGTATATTTTTTATTTTCTATATCTAGATAAGACTCGAAGTGTTATAACTGTCTATATTGGTATTATTAAATATTTTTTTTGATATTATTAAGTACACATAAAACAAATCTGTCAATAAAAGGATCGATTTTATGCTACTTAAAAATAATATAGTTTTAGATAAGTTTATCATTTGTTCAATGCATAATTTTCTAAATTTAAACATTGAAAAATTAACGTTTTTATATACAGCAGTTTCATCCTTTTTTCATAGAACTGTTATAAGTATATACAACTACAATAAGATCTAAGTCCATATATGGAAAAAATAATTATTAACTAGAGAAAATACTTTGGAATACAACATTATCAATATTTTTTTACTTCACATACTTGTAATATATATATGTACATACATTTAAGAGAAATAAAAATGTGAACTATATATATAGGCATAATAAGCAAAGTTAGATATACATAAAGAAAAATAATTCTAATGGTATAAAATGCTGAATAATGAAAAATAGTTTAGGAAATAGTATATCAAAGTAATAACTGCAATTATATTTATTATACTTTAAATATATAAATACAATATTAATCCTATGATTATTATTACTACTATTTTGTTATTATTACGAGAATTAATTTTATGTTTATTATAAATGATTTTATATTATTTAGAATATCACATAAGTAATATATTATATTAAATATATTTGCACCATTAATTATAAAATTATTAGTTCTCCATAATATTTTATCACAGTTCTACTTTTTGATTTAGAAGTAATGATATAAAATAAATAAAAATATAATTTGTGCCTTTTAAGGAACATTTCATGGTATAATTAATAATTAATATTTCTCTTAATTTGAAGTGTCATTTAAAAATATAAGAAAATTCTATTAGATTATTATCCTATATTATATTTACCGCAACATAGTATGCACAAAAATTTGAATATAATCAAATTTGTTTTAATAATTATATTACATAAAATATATAACATTGAATTATATCAAAGAATATGAAAATTGAATATATAACTAATATAATTTTTTATCACATGATAATTTAATACTTATTGATATATGAAAATAATCATAGATGATATAATTGCAAAAATTAATATATCATTCTAATTTTTTATTTATAACAACTTTTTCATTAAAGGGGACAATATTATATATAATTTATCATAAGAATAATATTTAGCGAGGATCTTATTATAATTTCATTATTAAGGATAGTGAGTACATATGTTTATTTACTTATATAATATATAAATATGCTTTTATAATTATTACATTTAATTCTTCATTACAAATACAATTTATACATGTTAAAAATATTTTTAATTATTACATAAATTAAGTATATAATGTAATATTTTATTTTAGATAGGATAAATTTGTATTAGTATTATGGCTCATGTTAAAGAAATATATATAATTCTCTTAGTTAAGATTCTGTATTATATGACTTATTCTAAATAAGCTTATTAATAGTTATATCAATTTATAGAATTTACATAATACCATAACTGTCATGTACAAAAACTTTATTTCTTGTTTTATAATTGATATATCATGAAATTATTGACTAAAAAATAAATATTTCTATTGTAATTACCTTTATGTTTTATAGTGAGAACAATTTATGTCTTATTTACTTATATAATAAATTTTCAATTTTAATGAGGAAGTTTTAGCATGTGTAAAATGATTTGTGTGTTAACAATATTTATATAAAATTACATTATAACTACATATATCATTGATAAAATATATTAGATATTCATATAGTATTTTATTTCCTATTAGAAATATTACACTTGCGATATAGAGAATAATGATTTCTAAAAGAAATAATAAGAATAAAATATATGATTTATAAGAAATCATATAAAATGTAGTTTATTCATTAACAATATCAATCATAAAAGTAAAATAAATATGTTATATTATTTATTTTATTAAAAATTAAAATTTTTTTTTACAAATAATTTATATAACAGTACAAATTAATAATTAATAATAATATGATGCATTTTGGCATATAATATAATTAGTAATTAATATTAAATATATTATATTTACAGAGGAATATAAAGAAAAAATGTTTCTACATAAGAGCTATACACTAATAAAAATAACATAAGTAAAAATCTTGCAAATATCGAATATTCTTAATTATGGTAAAATAATAAAAAGCATAACTTCCAATATTATACATAATCATTATAAATATGGTATTATTACTTTTGTCCTTATTTATAATGTTTGCGCATATAATAAAAAAAACAATAAGAGTATTAATATGAAAACAATTATTACAAGCAGTCGTTTATTTTATTTATTGATTTTGCCTTTATATATATATTTTTTTAATTTACAATCTCATATACTAATATCAAATATTTTACATTATAAAAACATATATATCATTGTATTAATGCAATTAATATACATATGAAACATAAAGAAAAATAATTTATCTCATGATGTTCCAATTTATACGTTGCAATAATATATATATTAAGTATTTTTACATACATATTTGTATATATTTCATAAAAACAATCTAAACAACCTGAAACCTAAAACGATATTTCATTTAATTTATTATACTATATGATTATTTTATTATAGTTGTGTTTCATATATAATAACATAAATAAACATTAACTGTTAATTAGTCTTCTTATTCAATTTCAATATTATATATACATTTTGATTGTTGTGCATTTACAAAATATAATGATTATATTATCCAATAATAATCATGATACGGCAATTAAATACTTGAATAATTCAAAAAATATGAATTTTAATATTTGCGCTTAAATTTATTTTTATAAGAAATATAAAATATATTATTAATATTGTAATTACTCTTATATTATTAACACAGGATTTTATAAGATATAATTATTAAAAAAATTCTATTAATTCATATACATATATTTTAATGTCACCAGCGATGCCAATGACATGGATTGTATGTTTCTATTATCATTAAAATTACGCTATTTCTAAAATCCAAAGAAATATATATATTTATATAAATTTAATTCAATTATTTTATAAATATAATGATTTTTATTTCAGTCATTTATTAAAGCTATATTTCCTACATGTGCTGATGAGTATAATTCAGTTACTACAGATAAGGGTAAGGAAGATTTACGTAATAAATTCTCTATTATGTGTGCTCAATTCAGAGACAATATAAGGCTTAATGAATTAAGTGAGGATGAGCAAAAAACGTTTGAATTAGTTTGTCCAGATATTTCACTCTATTTAGACCATATCAAAAAAACATATACTCAAAAGAATGATCCACAAACTTATGTTAATTCAAGTTGTAATTATTTCTTTTACAAACTGAAATTTCTTATTAATTCTTGTAATCTTAAATGTGGAAAAATAGAGTCTTGTTATACAAAAATGAGAGAATATATGAAAAGTAATCCTCCTGATGAAGATGCTTTTGATATATGTGCGAATGAACAAGTGTACGAGGGAATTGTTTATGAAAATATATTTGGAATGATGAAATATATTGATTTAGCATTTTATTCACTTTATCATTTAAAAAGTATAGCAGAATATAGAACCCAGCAGAAGGCAATGTATTTAAATTTTATTAAGCAGGTTTTACAAGTTTTAAATAGCCAACGTGATGTTTTCCCTAAGATTTATCAAAGGATAAAGGATGAATATGATGAAATTATCCAGAAAGTGCAAATAAAAACACAGCAAGTTAATACAGATGATCAAAGCTCTCAGGGAATAGCAACCAGAGATTCAGTACATGTCGTTGGAACAGCATTACTAAAAAAAATAGATAAAGAATAACCGAAATGATAGAAACAGGGTCAGATAATGGGATACGTACAGGAATAGTCACAACATTACTTGTTTCAACATTTGCAATAATGATAATTATATTCATAGGTTATAAGGTTAAAATAAGCTTATCTTATCAAATATATATTGTCACATTGTATAATATGCACAATTTTGAAATTATTATATAAAAAAAATGTCATATTCTTAAATATATTATTTTTTTTTAACAGTACAGAGCTCACATAACATTTTTAAAACATAAAACAAGGAATATAATGAAGATAAAGAATAAACAAAATGAGAATATGGTAAACTCATCTGCTACACTTGAAGGAATATACAATGATTCAATTGATAATAAATATAGTTTAGCTTATAGTTCAGAGGGTTATTAGGAAATGTATAGTTTCTTTTAATATAATGACCTTATTTTTTTTTCAGAACATTATAGTATAGTAACCTAAATTAAGTATATATGAAAAAATTTTTGAACGTTCAGAGTTCATATTTAGGATTCAGGGTTTTAATGAACACGACTTATATTCTAATATTCATGTTTAATAATTGTAAATTCAAAGTTTTCTGTTCAATTTTCTGGGTTTCCATTTTAGTATAATGATTAAAATATACATATTAGAATGTGCCTTAATTGTATATTAGTTTTATAATGTAATTATTTTTTATTAATAATTGGTATACTCTTTGTTATGAACTATATATTAATAGTATTCTTATTTTATTCGAGGGCGTGCATATTATAGAATATTTTTATATATTACACCATGATTTGCATTATAAATGTTATTTTTGCATTATTTAATATAAATATATGATGTATTAGTACCATTTATTTTTATAGTATATTTTTATGATGTTTTTAAAAATATTATTATTGTAAAAAAATTACTTTTAATTATTATCATATATATTATAATTATATCCCTTTATGTGTAATTAGTTTTAATATATTATAATAAATATATTTAATTTTTTACAGTTCATATAATATATAATGTTGTTATATATATTTTAAAAAAAATTTATATTATCAATTTAATAATATAATTATTTATACTTTGTTTCTAGATTATTATTAGGTAGATAGCTATTTTTTTTTATTATATTTATTTTTATGTATATCACACCCAATTTTGTTTTTTACATTAATTATACTATATAAATATAATATATATCATCAATATCAATATTATATTTTATGTAATATGAGAAAAAATAGAAGTCCATAGAGTTTATAAAATATTTACAAGGTTCATAAACTTAGCATGTCGAAATTTCTGCGTACATTATACTATTTGAATATACCTTAAATGATATACTTAAGAGTGCTATATATTTTCGTTTTTTATTTTAAATTTATCTTCACCTTTATAAAGTATATCCCAAAAAGACGAAAAATAGATATACATTTGAAAATTATTAATATTGTTAAAGGTATTATAGTAATTGTATGTTTGATTTTATCTATATTTTTTTTATATTTATTCCACAATATAGAGATATATAGCATTGTATAATTTTTTCTTCTTTAGTATGTATTTTTATATATATTATATATGTGTAATTTGTTAATAAAAATATTAAACATCATTTTGATGCTAAATTAAATTTCCAATTTTTAATAAAAGATAATATATTTTCAAGAGATTCAATTATTTTATAAATAAAATGCTAATGAATGAAATGTATTTTTTTTCAATAAGCAAAGCTGTGATTTATGATAAATTTATATAACATATTTGCATAAACATATACTTATGTTTATCTAATAACATTAAAGTAGTGATTCATATTATTTATTTCAAAATATTTACCTGCGTTTTTCTAGAGCTACATAATAATTTTGTTGAAACATTTATACGTAAATATCTGGTGAATGTAATACTTACTGCGGATGAAATGAAAAAACTAAAATAAATGTATGATATGTCCTTGATACATAATAATTCAGATGAGCATAATGAATTCTCTAGAATGTACAAATCTCAATTTACTATTATATGGTATATAAATATATATATATA